TGTAATTGTTTCTGTGATGCATAGTTTGCCCTTAATTGCAAAGATATGTTTGTCTTTGTTTATAATATGTGACATTATTTGATTTATTTGGCCTAATTATAAAACCATATCCTAATAGTTGTTGGGGCTAAAGTTAGAGCTGAATGAATCCCAAATTTAGTACTTAGGCCAAAAAGAGATTGGGAAGTACCTGAGACCACACAGACTCACAATGCATGTTGGTTCCATCTGAACCTGAGCTTTTGACCCTGGGTCACAGTTTTTCTAACCTCATTTTGAACATGAGGCTGCTCATGTGTAAAAAGCAATTCAATCCCACTTGGCAGCTGTCAGGAACAGACACCCAAAACCGCACCAAAAAGGCATAATCAAAAATGTTCTGGAACTTTCTAGAGAGATTCTACATCATATTTACAGCCATGACCAAACAAAAACTAACACCTCAGCTTTTAGGAGAGGGAGTCCCATGAGGAGGTTCCATTCTGGAAACTGCTGCAGAAAAGGACACTATAGTGTTTGAGATTGGCAGCTCTCTGTCACTCTAAACATTAAAACATCTGTACTAGGGAGGAAGTGGCTGATTTGAACTGATAGTGGAATTAATAACAACAGCTTCAGGATAAAACATTTGTTCATATTTTCAGAGGTAAAACTTTAGGTTCGCAGCTGAGCCTGTATCGTTTTTATTTCCAAGATGCCTAGATGTCATCTCTGTCTCTCTGTAAGAGGAAGATGCCTCACCAACAGATTCTAAATTATTGGTCCCAAGGGAAGATCCACCCTAATTTTGCACAGGCCCACACCCTATATAGTGTTTTCCTGTACTCATAAAGCATTGGACTTTTGGGAGAGCCCAGAACTTTGCCCAAGATTGGAATCAGCCAGTGTTTTGTGATATCACTGTTTTCTGATGTCACCCCTTCTATCACTTTAAATATTACTTTGCTAATGCAATGGGCCTTATTTTAAAAACTGGGAAATTCCTTCTTATTTTATGTACAAATACAGATTTCCCATTTTTAATAGGATGAAAAAAAAAACAAGCATCCAAGTTACAACCTGGACTGTATGACTTTTTGCATCCTAGGGAGGCTTTTCATATTATTTCCGTTTGTGGTGGACCTCATGGAGACTCTTTCTCACCCCATCTTCTCTGGGAGGCCCTGTCATGTCTCCAGCATGCCTGAAACCTGGGTGCCCATAAGACTACAGGTACATACTGACACACATGCACATAGACGCAGGTGCCATGCATACCTACACAGCTGTCCTTATATTTTTGATCATTAGTTGTCTTAGGGATATCAGAAAACCTAGATGTCCTGACAACTGTGAAAGCAAAAGCAAGCTTGCTTGGTGATCTGATGCACCCTTTACCATAAGCACACTCTCAGAGGCTGCATGTGTCCTGCTGATGCAGAAAAGTGGACCCCAGGTTGCCAGCTCTGTTACCCAACTAGGCTGGTCACACCTCATATGCAAAACCAGGCTTTGCCTCCAAGGAAGAAATTATTTTCATATGGTACAGGAATACCATCCTCCTATTGAAAAACAAGAAGTTTTAGAGAGAAAGAGAAAGACAGTCTGGGGTCTTACAGCCCTTCCAAGTGTACCTCCCATGACCTAAGGGCCTGTCACTAGGCTCCACCTCTTAAAGGTCCACCTGTACTCCCAGGATCAAGCCTCCCAACACAGGATGCCCTGGGAACAAGCCACACCAAAAACCACAGCAACAGTCTATATAAAGAACAACCCAATACAAGTCTTGGGAGCCCCCACTGTTTACCCCACTGTTTATTTCCTCTGTTTATCCAAAGTGAGCCTACACCTACCTGAGAATACTCAGGTTTTAAATAGTATTGGGGCTAGAGGAAACAGGTGCTTCTTGATTATGTCTCCAGTCCTCTGTAGCTGTCATCACACCACTAGAGGGTTCTGACTTTATAGTAGCCCACTTTGTCATTTATGATTATTCAGATAATCACAGGAAGTAAGGGTGAGTAAAATTAATTTTATTAGAGTGAAGAACTTTTTGTTCCTTGGGGGGCCAACCAAAAAATAGTTCTGGTCTGTGGGAAACAATATACGTGATCTTCAATCATGCACAGGCTTATGATTCTAAGATTATTCAACTCTGTTATATTTGAAAAATACAACGCTAAGGCAAAAAAAAATGGGATTTGGAGGCAGATTCAAAACAGATCTGTCTTGAGTCCTCCCTCTGGATCTAGTAGCTGAGTGATCTTAGGCAAAATAATTAACCTCTATGAGCTTTTTTTTTCTCATCTACAGAATGAAGTTAATAATACTCACTTAGGAGAATGTTCAGAACATTAAGTTATCTCAACAAATATTCCTCAAGTTCCTTCTAAGCACCAACAAGGTCTTTTCTAAGTACTGCAAATGCCACAGTGAATAAAACATAAGATTTCCATTCTTGTGCAGCTGGTGGTCTTAAAAGGGAACAGACCCTTTCTATCCTGGTCCTTAAGTCTCTGAAGCAGCGTTGCCTAGAAATGGATTCAAACTGGATTTCTTGTACCCAGAGTTCTAAAATAACTATCCCTCTTGCTACCACAGATGTGGAGTTATAGCTTAGCTGCTAAAAGTTACTTAAAATTCAAAATGATCGTCTATAAAGTTTTACCATCTTTTTAGTTCATGAAACTTTAGACTAGGGCAACACTTGCAATAAATCTTTGGTATTATGTTGACTTTTGCTAGTAGATGCTATTTACAAGTAAATATGATTTACATTATAAATGTTCAGAGGAGAAGATAAACATTCTTTAGTACATGAAAATTCTGAATGATAAGAATGGTCTAGAAAAACTTTCCTCCTTAGTGGTTATGTCACTGATGGAACAAGTTGTTCCTTTTTAGTGTTTCAAGGGTAAAGTGATCTACAAAGACCTTCCTTTTTTAAAGTAGATTTTTCTGCCTGGCATCAGTAAAGTGCATCCTAACCCTGTGCTGATTGTCAGCAAGTAGACTAGATAAAATAATAGTCACTGGGTAACGAAGGATATTTAGGTTGATCGTTTGAACTAAAATAAATTTGTAGAAAAATGGGTTCATTTCTACTCATTTTGGATGACAGAGGCAGAACTAAGAAATACCTTAATATGAATGAGCTCAAACTAATATCATTCTCATTTATAACCACATGGGTTATCAGAGTCAACATTATCTTCAATGTAAAGGTTCGAAGAATTTTTTTCTATGTAAGGTTTGATAAGAAATGACCTTATTGCTAGCTGTATTTTTAATTTTACACAGTGAAAGTATTGTTGCTATCTCAAACTGTTGGTAAAATTCCAGACCAGTGTCATCTGAGGTAACTCGATTACAATAAAAATACAAGAGAATGGTTCTTTAAAATGCATTTATATTTTCTGTATTAGCACATATGTGCATTTTGCATGCTTCCCTACAGAGCTAATTATACTGTTTCAAAACAATAATAATAGTAAAGAAGATAAAAGATGAAGAAACATAAAGCTATCCAACTGTGGGATCACTCTCCTGACATCCTTGGAATGCCACTCTAATTACTAATGAAATGGCACTTAGAACAGTTATCTAGAGGAGACTGTTGAGGCTAAAAAATTAAAAATCCATCATTTTAATATTTCTTTCAAAAACACTTTTTTTCTATTTTTTCTATGGACATTAACAATAAGTTGCTCCAGAGATGCTTACCTTGATATCCCCAGCATGTCTTTGACCTGCCAACACCTACCTGCCACCTGGCTTCATTTTTGCTGAAATACTTGTTATAATATGAGTTTGAAAATCAGGACATTAAATTGTCTACTTTTCTTTGCATATGAAAACAACACAGCATGAGCAGGACAAAGATTCTTCCATGGCTGTTCAGGAGTTACTAAATAAAATTCAACCCTGCCAACAGATCGATTTTCAGTCATTTCTGCCATCTTTGCACTTTTAAGAAACTCTAGAGTTGACAAGTAAGGATATATCCTGACACACTTTTATCTAAGAAGCTCTTTTAATCTTATGTCTAGTTACCATATTTCAGTACCAAAGAATATTTTGGACCTCAGAGGGATTGAAGAACTTGAATTTCCTTCTTACCCTTTAGGTAGATACATTTCATCTCCATTCTGGTCCCTTGTACTTAGTATATAGAGTAACCACTGGATCAGAAAGACCAAGGGAATGTTCCACTTAACTTCTTGGGATTCTGCCTTCAAACATCATATTTAAATCCATGTACTGCTGGTACATACTAGCAAAGCTTTTTGGGAAGCAAATTTGATGTTGTTTCCTAATCTGATGCTGATACACACATAATTTGGCAGTAGGTGTCAGTAGCTTTAAAATTTTCAGATACTTTAACTCCAAGGAAATACTTAAACATTCAGACCTTCAAAGAGTTCTCTTTTAAAAAGTTGATAATGACATTTCTAATAAATGAAAAATTGAAAACCCTTTACTGTCTGATGCCCAAGGACAGGAATTGGTTAAATAAATTTTAGTACATCCACATAATAGAGTTGTAAGCAGTTATGGTCAGGGCTGGTGGTCTAGAAGAATTTCTAAAATGGAATAACAAAAATTCTCATGCTACAATAGTGTGATAAAAATCTAAAACTAAATTGCATGCACAGTATGATCTTAAAGATATATAAATAATATGACCAAGGAGGAAAAAAACAACAACCCATCCCCCCTAAATGTTAGCTATGGTTATTTTTGTTCCATTTCTTTTTGCTCTACATCTTTCTATGGCATCAAAATTTCCTATCATGGACATCAAATAAAACAAAATTTCAAAAGTTAAGATACAGAAGAAAAACAGAGCAGTTGCTGTGGGACATGTTGTCATGTCTTTCCTCCTCTCTGGCATGTTATATACTTTCTACTCTGGCCCCTTCTTGGGAATTTACACTGTTCAATTTCCTACTGGAGAAAAAATACAACTGTAGAAAGGCAATGATAAGAATCTGTGTCACCTAGTCTCTGTTCTTTTCCAGCACACGACGGTTTTGCCCTTTATATTAATCGAGATGAGGACATCGCACCATCAGTATCCCAGCAGAAGCAGTGGACTCACAGCCATATGCACCTTCTCTGTGGGCTATATATTATGGTAAGGACCGTGCCTGCTGGGCCTTCATATTGTATGAGATTTTGCACAGCTAAATTTGGGCACATATTGCATTATGGATATAATCACTAACAGATTCACACTGTGTGCCTCATTTGGTCCAAGACCTGGGCTTTGTCTCGTTTCCCCAGATGCTTATATTTTTAGAAAGTATATGCCAAACCTCACACAGCAGGAATTTGTTGAACAATCCCATGTAAGCAGTGGTTCTTCCAAGGCTACATTTTTCAACTCTTTTTCAAACTAAATGTTTTTCTTGGACACCAATTTTATAGCTTAAGGGCTTTTTAGCTTGGGATTTTTTGTTGTCGCTTTTGTTGGGGGTGGGGTGGAGAAATTGCAACAAACATGAAATAAGGACAGAAGAAATGACCTCTTAGAACAGCAACTTTAATAGGAAGCGAGTGAAAATGTCCATTTTTCTGAATGTGTTTAAAACTTGTTCCAGAGTTAGCTATTACATATAGAGTGTGTTTAATTGTTTGGGGGTTGAATGTTGGGGTACATCAGCCACAAGAAATCTCCATATGGTCTATTGGACACAGTGAAGTCCCAAGAGTAAGGTGACAAATTTATCTGATAAGAGTTTTTGCCTGGCAAGTTTACTTCACATTAATTTAAGTTTTTATCATGTTTTAATACTTCAAAATTTATTTATCTTACCGTAGAGGAGTACTAATTTCTCTTTATAATTCCACATCTGCTTTGATATATTAACACACACATACTCCTCTTGACTGAGCTGTCCCTCCCACCAGCATTTCTGTCTCTTGAGACACTTTTGTCCTGAGTTCTGGGTCACCATCCCCTCCTCTAAGCCTGAAGGACTGGATAATGTTCTTCCAAACACCCCACAACTGTACTTCATCCCGCCAAGAGCCCAGAGCTCTTTGGGAGGCCCAGTCTCCATGGAGCATTTTGCTTCATCCAGCCTAGAAATATAAAATAAAGTACAGCCAGTCAAGGACTTCACATACTATGCATAAACAATCACATAATGCCCCGGATCTGATCAGAAAGAGAAATTGCTACTAGGAAGTCACACTATATGGCTGGATCCAAGGGGTATCCAGATAGTGGACCCCAAAATAAACATGCAGAGAAGTTCTTTCCATCTGATACTCCATCAACTAGTAAGGAGCCATTTGCAAGCACTGGGAAAGAGTCCTAATTACTTTCCGGAGTTGGTTTCCTGTTATTGTTGTTGATTGTTTGTTTTGTTTTTCTGCATGCAATACCTTAAGTATTGACTTGATCTGATAGAAAAAGTCCAAAAGATCACAGATGAAATGTGATTAACATTACGTATTGGAAATGAACTTCCCTGCTTTTTACATATGAACTTGATATTCAATGGCTGTTCCCTTTCAGAAGAATCGAGTAGGGAAGCTACAGTCACTGCAAGGATGCTACTAAAGCTCAACATACCTGAAATTGCCTTTAACATTAGCTTAAAAGTCAACCTCTCATACCCACACCTCCACCTATGGGACAGGCAGGTTTTGCTCTCTAGAAACCGTGGTATATGTCTGAGGGTTCATTTTTATCCTATTCGGTTTTCTTGTAAAGCCCCAGAGGTTTTAGGAACTGTGTTCTTTTTGATGGCCTTTCTTCGACTGTGTATACAATCAGTCCATGTTCCAAAGAGGCATGGGGGAAATACCACACAGTCTTCATTATAGACCCCCAAGATCCCTCATTACAGTGAAGCATGACTCATGCTCTTGTGCCAAGTGAGGCTTGCCAGCTCCATGTACTCCCAAGCAAACCAGTACTTGTTTGGTCCGTGTGTTTGCATTAACCAGAGAATTCCCTCAGATTTGTTCTGAGAAAGATTTCAAAGTAGGCATTTTCCTTTGGTGTTCTGCCCCAGGCACTCATAGCCATGCCAAGAGCTGAACAATGCCTCTCACGTCATGTCACATTATATAAACCCAGAGATTTAATTGTTATCAAAAAGGCACTGGCTTTTGCTCCCTTCTAGACTATCTCAGAACTCACATACCAGTAACACAACAGCGGAAGTTTCCGGATATGAAATCTTTGGATAGCATTCCAGTGTTGGAACTGGACATTCTGGAACCCCATGCCAAGATGAAGAAAAAATAAAGCAGTCTTCTTATCATGTGCTAATTATAAAATAAGTAGATCTCCTTTATAGTACTGAGTAGGGTTGAGCTGACTGTGTACCTCGGGGCTGCGGGCCAGCACATCCCCTTCTTCCCTCAGATACTAACTGGCTTTCAGTTTCCTCCCCATTGAAAGCTATTCCTTTCTTAGGTTTGGAGGAGGAGAGCCTGGACTTTCCCTCAGTGATGCACCCCTGAGCTCCCACACTCAGTGGCTGCATTTCCCAACTTCGTCCCAGTCCTCCCCAAGCTTAACACCCAAAGTCCATCCCAGGTCCTCTCGTGACCATGTCTGCCTACCCACCAGGCTGCTTTCTCCATCTACCCAAATGTTTCAGACATAAACAACCTTCTTTTCACTTTATGGAGAGCTCTTAACTCTTTTCCTGAATCCTTATCCTCCAACATCATTTCCCAGATACTTCTCTGCACCCTATTGGTAAGGTTTCTCCTAATAAATGAGAGGATCCTATTGTCTCATGCTGCATACAACACAGAGGTCCCCTTGGTTATTCATATGACAGTGATTATCAAGGTTCGTAGTAGGTACCGTTCTTCTGAAGTGGACACCATGCCAAGTGCTTTTCAAATATCACAGTATCGTCCCCCCAGGAGACCCGTGGGATGGGCATATCTTGCCCATTTCACAAAAAAAAAAAAAGGAGCTAAAACTCAGAAAGTTTGTTTGACTCAATTAGGACAAGCCACTGGGCTTTTCCAGAACTATAGGTGTGTGGCTCAGAATCCATATTATTAGCTATACCCTTGCCTGCCTGTTCCTGTAGGAAGAGTAACTCTATGGATGAAAGTATTATATGGAGTTTTGGTTTTGTTGTATTTTAAAGAAACAAACCAGAAACAGCCAAGTCTAGGAGTTAAGCCTATTTCCTGGGTTGGAATTCTGATCCCTCCACTTCACCTTTCTAGGCTCATCCAGATGTAAAATAGGGAGAAAGATAGTTTATCCCTCACAGAACAGTTGTAAGGAGTCGATGACTGAATGTACAACCTAGAAAACAATGCCTAGCTCATAGTAAAAAGTTCCTATATTTGCTACTATCAGTTCTGAGAAACTCCCCAACAAACGGTAATTCTAGCACCTAATGTTTTCTTTTCAAAGGTTTGAGAATATTAGTTATGATGCCATAAGTTTTTTCTCCCTTTACTTATTTCACTCACTCACTCTTCACTTTCTCTATAGGACTTGAAAATATCATTTTTTATTGTCTTAGGGCCCTAATGGTTTTAGATAAATTCCATATTCCAAACACCATTATCCCAAATGTGTTCATAATTTTCCAACACAGGAAATGGAGCAAAAGCAGAATGAAAAAAGACCTTTACTTTGTGACGCAATCCTAAATTGTCTCATGATTTTATTTGCCACCAAGCTTGATTATCTTTGGGTCATGCGATCGTGGATAATTTTTTTTTCTTATTGAAACTTCTGCATTTTCTCAAGTTTCCACTGGAAACATCATTATTTCTATTTACACATATTACCTTTAAACACAAAAAATTTAAAAAAAAAAACAAAAATAACAGTGTACTCAGATTTTTTAAAAGAATTTTATTCATGAACGAGTAAAATTTCGACTAAGAAAACGAAATTTTAGACCACATTTAAGTCCTCCCGTTTAATTGGATGCTTCTTCACCAGTTACACATATCTGGCCCACGGGTAATTGTTCTTTGACCAGAGGATGACACTTTTCTCTGTTCAGCTTGAACCTTTCACTCCACCACAACTGCCCACCTGTTGGCTTTTATGTCTGTACTAGTGCTTCAAGGTTTTCCTGATTTTTCTGGGCCCCGGATGAATGAGTAACTTCTAAGGACTTCACATTCTGAATAGAGATGCCTTTCTTGGGGTTGTAAGAGACAACCAAAGGACTCTGTTCCCTTGCCCATCCCCAGAGCCACCCACACTCTTCATCATGGCCATCTCCCCCATCCTCCAGCTCCAGCTTGACTGTGAAAGCGAAAGAGGGTCTTTGCAGACTTGAATTTGGGGTCTGAGGGAGCCATTAGGGGATGGAAAAATGCAGCACGTAAAGGAAGTGCTCCCCATGCTCACCAAAGCCAAGTGTGAGAGGCTCCAAGAGAATCTCTGGTAAATACTGGGGCTGAGGCAGGAATCCACTCAAGAAACAGACTTTTCATTTCTCTTATGCCTCATACCTGTGCAAGGAAAGTGGCATGTGGAGAGAGGGACTGCTGTAGAGCCGCCCCTGATCTCATGGTTGTATGTTTCAAAGATGAATGAGTTTCTTATGGGTATGACTTGACACAGAGGAAGGTTTTCCATCGAGCTGTCTTGATAGGCCCCCAAGAAGTCCAGCCCCCTGAGCAAGAGTTATCCAGCAACTCAGTTATCCACAACTCTGTGTTGTGCTCCCATGGGCAGAATCTGAGCTGTGTTTTATGTGTCGAGGGAGCCAGCCATATTCCCCACATCAGGAAACTCTGCAGTGGAGAAGCCCTTCAGAGACTCCTACAAATCTCACACCTGAGTCCCAAGCAAAAGTGGGCATTTAGACTGCAGCTTCACTACACTGATCAGCAAGATGTTGGGATTAGCCAGAGAAACAGAGGCAGCCACTTACAGAAAAACAGGCAGTGGAGTCTGAAGGTATTTATCCTCCTCTCATTTCTCCTCTCAGACCTCCAGGCAGGGGATGAGGCATCTCAGAACCAGGCCATGCCCTCCCCTCAAGGCTCTGGAGTGGTGGTAGAATGAAGAAGCAAAGTCCCCACCTACGAGCCTCATGTGTTTGAGGAAAGCAGAGGGCCAGATGTTGGATCAGAGGGAGAAGGGAGAGTGCACAGAGACTCCTGGGGTTCGGGAGGGCC